TTACAAGGAGACAAACTTACATATACATTTTAGGCTTCTTAGCACTGGTGTCATGTTCTACACATTTAAAGTGGAACCATTGCCCACACAGATCGCATAAAATCATGTTGTCGTATTCTTTTGACAGTTTACATTCACATAACGTATTATGAAAAACAATCGCTTGCAAATTTTATCAATACCAGTGTTAACAATAGCCGCCACAGTAATCACTTGCTAACAATAAACTATAGGATTAATAAAAAATCTATGGAATGTGTTGGGAAGTGTATTGATCATTGTCCGTAGAATCATCAACTTTCCATGTCAGTGACAGTGTTAGTGATGTAATCTTGATTCTTGACTTCCGCGAAGAAAATTGCATTATATATGTGGTGTGACTTATTCAAATAATTTCATGATACTTTGATTTTATTAGTGCCTCAAACATTTAAGAATGTAACTCTGCAAAACTAAAACTTTGAAACGTATATTATTGGAGTATTGCCTATTGGCAAGTTCTACCCTTCGCTTCTGAGATTTACAAACTATATTGAAATAATGCAAGTAAAAAATAGTGACAACTTATAAGCCACACATTTTCCAATAACGACAAAACGTGGATGCAAATCAATACCAATAATTACAATAACCACCACGGTGATTACTTTTTAACAATGAGTTTAAGGATTAACAGTGAAAATGCAAAATATGCATGGTGTGCTGTGAAGCGTCATAAGTCCTATTGATCTACTGTAACTGTGTAAGCCCTTTCGATACATGTAATTGTAAGGGCTTGAAATAACGTTCCCAAAGTTCCCGATCATGGTGATCGGCAGTCATAACTTTCCCTGCTTTTTTCAGGTTGGAAACCGAAACCCTGCTTTTCCGCCGATTATAAGCAATTCCTTGCCGATCATTGATCGGTGATCGGTTGTTATTTCAAGCTCTGCCTTAACAATTTTGAATTGATACTGATTTCAAATGATTAAAGCCATGTAATAATTATCCGATGCAACTATTAGGAAGGGCGAAACTTTGAACGGAGGGACGAAAATCCTAAAGAAAAGGTGAAGTTTCTGAAGGGGGGCGAATTTCCTAAAGGGGGGCGAAATTCTTAGGATTTTCGCCCCCCTGGGGGGGCGATATTCCTAGGAATTTCGCCCCCCGGGGGGCGAAAATGTAGGGGGGGTGAAAATCCTGGGACACCGGTGGCAAATCTAAACAGTTTGTAAGCAATGACCTAGATCTGACAATGACTTGGCACCCAGGTAAGCAAAATTCTTTGCTGTTCAGCGGGAAGGACGGTGAATCCTTGAAGAAATTATTGATAAGTATTTTGAACACGCCAAGCGATACTACACATAAAATACCGGACGAGCCAAAATCATCGACAGGAGAATCGCGTGACATTGGCAAAATTACTAATTCTAGTGAATGCCCAAGCCAGTCTATAGCTGAAATAAAAGCGATTAAGGATAAAATTGACGGTGTATTTGTGATTGTAAACAGGCTTTGTTATTCTACAACTAGATTACTAAATGAATTTTCTGCAATTCTCGCCAGAAAGGATCTTCTCGATTCCACTACCCAAACTGATTTCGAAGCACATAACAATGTCGGATTAAATATAGCTGATGCCACAAACGTGACAGATATCCAGTGTACATACACGCTTAGTGGTTTATCGACCGAAATTGAAGGTCTCAAACTAAACATCATAATCACAGAATCAAATATTTTAAGCAAAGTTCAGTCTAACAATCAAGCGATTGAGCAAATTCGTCACGACCTAGACTCAATCAAAAGCCATCAGAGTAAAAGTAACTTCATTTCAGACAATAATACTGCCCCAATTACAAATTCTGAATCAATTAATGTTGGACCTACAGCTAACTCAACCAAGATTGATAGTACTGCCACAATTCCCATATGTAAACATGGTTCAAATCAGTCTTGTGCTCAATTACGGTCAACCGTAATCTGCCAACAAAATACCAACCCTCCCGGAGTAGCCCAGTTTTGTTCTGTTAGCAGTAACAAGCCAAATAACAAGTTAACGCTCCAGGCCTACCCTAATTCTAACAAACACGTTACCCAGCAAATCGAAGGTGCACCAGGAATAATGATCAACAGAATCATTATAAAGTATGCAAATCCACCTCCGACCATAAATTAGAAACTCCCAAGGCCAATCCTGAAGTAATTAAAATTGGATCGACTGCTAACACAACCAAACCATTTAGCGTAGGCGCTGGTTCTGCTAAACATGAATCAAAGCAGTATTACGCTCATCAGTCAGTCCTGTAAAACAAAGTAATTTCCATCAACATTCCCAAGCTGTTTTTCGCCCACAATCAAATGTCAGTTGTGTGAAGCCAAAACCAAGAAATAAACAGAATGTACAACATATTTCAAACCTTAGTTGTGCTAATACTGGCGAAAGTCAGCTGGCACCAAGTGGGATTGGATCTTTGAAATGGTTGGACCGCCTACCTCTGGTTGAAACGCTTAACATGACAGTTAGTAACCCCATGCATACATCTCGAAGTGGGGCCGAACCCATTTATTGGATAGGACGGTTGCCCCTACTTGTTAATTACTCGACACATGCGCCTCGCTCACGCCAGACTCAAAGGAATGAATACTTTTTTCGGTCGCGATTTAGTCAGCAGACAGACTGGGTGAATTACCTGGAGTTTGTCCGTCGCACATTGCAATAAACTTGGAGATCCCTGTCGCAGCTTGTAACAACACTATAATCACACCGGAACAAAACACTATACCAGTAAGAATTACATCTTACCATGAATTCGAAGGTCAGCAGTCTAACGCTCCGTGTTATAATGAACATATTCCCAATACTAGCAAACGAAACCGTAGCGGAACACGTAATCTAATTGAAATTCCAATCAAGAATCCATCCCTATATCAAAGCACGTCTCTATATCAAAGCCCAAAGTAATTTACTGACATTCCTTCTCTCAAATACAAGATCACTTTTACCAAAGGTGGATGAATTAAAAATTATACTTGACCAATATGATGTGAATATGGCCTTCATAACCGAAACATGGTTAAATGAGAAAATCAACGATGCAGCAGTTTGTATTCGCGGGTATTCAATAGCAAGATGTGATCGAATTGATAAACTTGGCGGTGGAGTTTGTGCTTTTATTAAATAAGACATCCCGTTCAAAATTCTAACAGAATTTAATGACATCAATTTTGAAACCTTATGGATCTATGTACGACCTTATACACTTAATCGAGGCTTCTCGTGTTTGATCGTCTGTGTGGCCTATAAACCTCCATCCAGCAACAACGCCGCATTTATAGATCACCTCAGCTCAACACTTGACCTTGCTCTCAATAAGTACCCAAATGCAGGTATATTTTTACTCAGAGATTTTAACAGATGTCCTGTCTCATCTTTATTAAGACATTTTACTTTGAAACAAATCGTAAAACAACCAACCAGGAAAGATGCTGTCCTTGATCTTATTCTTACTAATATGTCAGACACATGTGACCCTCCTAAGGTGATCGCACCCATCGGACTCAGCGACCATAATTCCGTTTTATGCATTTTAAAAAAATGTAAATCATTGAACGGATGCAAGAAAATAAAAATTAGACCCGGTAACAGAGGTGCCACAGTTGCATTTGGAAGATGGCTATTGTTCCAGACGCACTTAGGCTGTCCATGTTTGACGGCTGATACCAACCATCCACCCTGCAGAAGCGTTTTAGCTAGGTCGGATTGCATCGTGGTCGGATTACAACAAGTTCCGTCGAGTCATTTATCATGGACGCCGAGAATTGCTTCTCACTCATTATGGAAGCAACGCATTCGGAGGGAACGATTCTGTGCAGAATGTATGCCCATGACGTTTCCCCAAGTCCTTTGGTCCTGACACAACTAATTTTCGAATTTTTTGAGGCATGTGACAACAAACAAAACATTGATAGAATTTATCGAGAAACGCAGTCTGTACATCCAATTCTGGAAACGAATTGACTATGCCGTTCTTAAAATACAGCGGCTGTGGTGGTGTCGTGCTGTCGTATGGAATATACGTATGAGGCGAAATTTTCCCCAAAGGCATGCGTGGTGGGCATTCTGTAAACGAGCGCGTCGAGATTTGAAAAACTGTCTGCCACTAACTTCGATGTAATCGGGATCAAATTCGATTTGGCTGATCATTTTGCAACCAGGATGCGATCGCAGTTGTACGATGCAAGACATGTGCTTGATGATCTTCTCTCATAACGCATTTTTGTAAGTAATTTATTGACGTATGTTTTAACGTCCAGCATTTTGACGTGCGTCAACGTTGCTTCCATTGGTTTGCCGTAGAGGAATCCACGATGGAGTGCATGATCGCACCGCATCATCACGAGTTCAATCTCACGTATTGTGGCCATTATGTCACTCCGTGCCGTTATCACTTTGTTGCTTTGTGTTGGTCTCGAGATGATTTCTAACTCGTACTCCAACCCGTCTGAAGTTAGTGCAGCGTGAGACTCACTGAGTGGTCCACCATAGGAATCTTGTTGAACGACAACAAGCCGACAAGGTATTTGGGCGTTCGTATTTCGTCAATTGATGTTTTCGTCCTCTATTTCTCTTGCACGACGTACCGAACGGCAAAAGAGGTTGGATGCAATCACCATGTTTTTGGTTGCGGTGTCGTTATGGTCTTTAACAACCTGAGCAATCTTGCACACTGCTGTTTCAACCTGTGTCAAACCTCTGGTATTGCGTGTCTTGATTTCGGTTATTGTTGGTTCCATATCGGCATAGTGAAGTGCAGCAAATATTGTCTCCTTCATGCACTTGGATGTCTCGCGGAAAACAATGAAGTACGCCAAACCTGGAAAAATTGTTGGATCATCACTAGTAGCCTCATCGTCCTCGTCGGCATTTGTTTCAACCATTGTGATGCACAAGATGAAAAATTGCACCCCATCCATGGCAACAATTTGGTCGTCCAGTTGTAGTCTCTTGGAACAAATTTGATTTTTTGCCAGCTCCCTGTCTTCGTCTGACACTCTCCAGATGGCGCGACAAGCAAGACCATATGTATCATGACTGAGCTGTTAAGGAAATGTGAGATAATTAGTTGATACCATGCGGAATGGTCAGCAGTATAACAAATTGTTAATGTACTACAGAGAACACTTCTAGCCGCAGATAAACGCTTAATAACTGTTTGAACTATGTTATAATGAAATAGAAGACATCACAGTGTCGATAAACGTAGCGTGATTGTCAACTCTCGTTACTGATTGAACACACCCATTATAATCAACATTCTTCAAACAATATTTGCTTGAACTTACCCATTTCAAAAGGTTTACACGTATCCTCTTATCTTTATCCTTATCTTTATCTTCTTATCTTCCTTATATTTACCCACTTATCTTCCTTATCTTTATCTTCCTTATCTTTATCTTCTTATCCTTATCTTTATCTTCCTTATCTTTATCTTCCTTATCTTTATCTTCCTTGTCCTTACTTTATCTTCTTATCTTCCTTACTCTTATCTGACATGCACATGGAGCCAAGTTCGATAAGGTCAGAGCCGAGCTCTCAATAGCTTGGAGCCTTGTCTAAATTGCTTTCTCTCTTCCAATATAAGCCTCGTTGTGTTTTACTCATTTGCTTCCAAATCGTCGAACAGAAATGATCAATCTTCTAAGGCACAAGCCATTTCTTGAACTGCTGGGCACATCTGAGCCTGATCAACAACAAGCGCTACTGGAAACAGCAACCGCCGAGCAAGTACACTGCCTGTGTCTCTGTGTAGAAAACGTTATGAAAAGAAAATATTTAATGCCGAAGCATGTAATCAAGAAACTCCAACCTTACAAACATGAAATGTTTAGGTTGGCAGACAGAGGAAAATGTGGAAGAAAAAAAAACGGATACTCGTTCAACATGGTAACGGTTTCCTTGGACTATTACTAAGTCCTATTTTGGAAAGCCTAGCTGAACTTGTATAAAAGCCCTGTGACTACAATTTATACATCATTTCAACAATGAACATTGACAGTAAAACATCTCCGACATTGAAGATATACTTTTGTATCTGAACAATAATGTCAAAAAAACTACAGCAGAAATATTCTACATTCTATTCTTATATCAAGCGATATTTTAACTTGGAATCCTCAGGGGGAGATTGTTTATCATGGAAGAGACATTCCTGGTACTAACATCGAGAATCTTTTACAATACACACTTTTACCATACAACTCTCGCATTCCTGAACCATGAGGGCTCGACCTGTTTACAAAAGGCCTAGTAGAAGCAGGGATTAATAAAGATTTAATTAAAAATGAGTATTTATTGTCAAAAATGGCAAAGGAATATGAAATGCAGCAATCTGAGAGCGAGGTTGAAAGCAAATCTGGTAAAGAGGACAGGAAATTTGATAAGAGTGATAATGAAAGCAAATATGATGATGGTGATGATAATGATGATGGTGATGATAATGAGGATGGTGAGTCCGAGAAACTAGCTTGTAACCATTGTGGAAAGGAGACAGGTCACATTGTATACTTAATGAAGTGTCCTAGGGCAAAAATGCTCAATGTGTGATGTGATGAACAGTCACCTCTACTGTTTTCGCATGTCATTGGTTTCTGCAAGTTATGTTTGTATGGTACGTCTAACAGCAAGGCGGGTGGAGTGGAGTTCACACCAAAAATGGACAAATAAAAGACTGTGAAGCCGGAGAAATTTCCTTTACGCCACCACCAACAGAAGAGGAATGACCAAAACTCGAGCGCAACTTTTTCCACATTTTGGGTCAACCCAGCAGATTGGACCGAACGTGACCTAGCACGAATGACTCCAGAAGCAATAGAGGATTATGAACGTTTTATATTGAGCGACAGACCAAAATATATTCCAACAAAGCCGGAGAAAATTGCAAAGTTATTCCCAGAAGACAGACAAGAATATGAGAACTCTTCAAAAATAACAAAAACACCTAGGTGTTACGCTCTTAGAAGTAGACCTTACTAATTTTTGTAAAACGTTTTTAGAAATAAATGTGAAAATTTCGCCATGTGAGGGACTCGAACCCTCTTATTTTGGGAAAACCCCAATGCCAAATCATTCGGCCACCAAGGCATTACAGTTTCCTTGACATAAAAATCAAATAAACTATGCTTACACCAAACACAATACTTTCAGATTACATAATAATCATGATTGACATGATTTTAGTAATTGCTGCTTAGTCTACTTTAGAATTTGGTTTTAATGTATCTGCAGTGCTACCAATCAGGCCTGGCCATAAGTATTTGGGCAGGTGTGCGGCATAGTGCACGCCATATTAACGTCAGACACGTGATAAAAAAGGTTAAAATTTGCTTATTGGCTATACAGACTAGAATAACATTCACAATTTATGTAGAACAAAACAATTTTAACATTGGTTAGACAGACTTAGTATAGGTACTATATATAATGTTTGTACCAGTCAGTATGTATATTAATATTTACGATATTTACAAAGTCATCATACTTTAAATTTCAATGAAAATGTCAAAATCCGCTGTCCTCTGACTCGCAGACCTGTCCTCCGTATTCAGGTAAAACTACAGTTAACAGCATTAACAAAAAACTTAAATCTCTCAAGGACCAAAACAAACCAAAAAACCAAATCAGACCCGAAGATGCAACAATCACTAAATTCTACGGACTTCCAAAAATTCATAAAGATAATAATCCTCTCCGACCAATTGTTTCACTACCCGGATCCCCCACCTACAACTTGTCAAAATACCTCGCTGATATCCTCAAACCTCTGGTGAGTACATCACCACAATCTGTTAAGAATGTTAATGCCTTTCTGTCGAAAATAAAAGACATTAAGAGGCAGTCTGTGTAAAAATCGACCACTCGAATTTCTTAAGATTACAGATTTCCTTCAAACTTTCTGTGTGGAAGAAGTCATTCATAAAATGAACAAAAAACGTTGACTTTGAAATTGTAGTCAGTTTTAAAAATTTTTTCGCAATTATTTTCGGACGCGTTTGAAAACAAGTTAAAACGTTAATTACGCAAGTGATATTTGAACTTTTTATATCTCACAGTTCATCTCGCGCTTTTATTCTAACTTCTTGAAACTTACATATTTTATTATTTCCTGCCTAGGCATAAACCTAAACTAAAAATTATGCTGATCACTTGAAGCAAACAAAATATTGTGTATTTTAAAAAGTCTTTCAGACAGCAGATTAAATATTCGTGTTAGTTGGCTGGTGGTAAATTATTTTTTCTCAAAAGTGCAACGGTATCAGGTATCCAATCTATTGCAGCTAATGAGTATTATGACACATCTACTAGAATAAAATCTTTGGGCAGTGTGTTTTTCACTTGACAAGCGCGTCATGAATATAGTCAATTTTTGCTAATTCGACTAATTATAAGCTATAATTTGTTAATGCATTTACTTAAATTTTTGCTAATTTTATCAGCCGGTATTATCTTTTTATTATTTATCAGTGTATGGAAGCACTGTAAACATACTGATCTTGGTAACTAAAACTATATGCACCGATTTCCTCCAAATGTACACATCTATCACAAGAGAATATTAGAAGAAAGTATATTATACAATTTATTAGAGAGTAATGTTTTTCTCGTGAAAAGCGGTTCATATATAATCCCTGTCATCGCTTGAAGTCGGTCAACGTGTAATTTCAAGTTTTTCTTCGCTTTCTTAACAGTATATTTATATTGTAAAATCATTACAATCTTAACTCGTTGAAGTCGGGGGGAGGGGGGGTAAAATCCCCCAAAGAAAAGTCAAGAAAGGGGCCCAAATATTTTCGGGCAATATAGACCACAGCTCCTCCAATAGATATATGAATCCCGTACGCCTATGAGTGTACTACTATACATTTATATTGCTCTCATGTGCATAGAGAAATAAGGTACGAAATTAGAATCTATAAACAATCAACTTTAATACATGCATGGTTGGGTATACAAAAACGTTTTGATGTAAAAAACGAATTGCTTTCTTGTTGCTTTGAGCTATTAGGCTATATTAAAACCGATGAAACATGTAGTAAGCGCATATATTAAGTGAAAGTGGAACTTATTCTCAAACAAATAAATGAAACAAGACTGCATGTCGTAATCTCTCTGAAAGGGCGAAGCAGTAACTAAAGGGTGTATATATAGCAAGTGATATAACAATCGCATGGAGGGGTTATTAGAGACCTTACGATTTTAGGACGGCAACGCGACGACGACGGCCAAAAACTCCCTCAAATAAATGGTAGTATTAAAACCCACTATTTGTTGTATATTATTCAAGTGATCAGGATAATTTTTAGTTTAGGTTTATGCCTAGGCAGGAAATAATAAAATATGTAAGTTTCAAGAAGTTAGAATAAAAGCGCGAGATGAACTGTGAGATATAAAAAGCTCAAATATCACTTGCGTAATTAACGTTTTAACTTGTTTTCGAACGCGTCCGAAAATAATTGCGAAAATTTTTTTAAAACTGACTACAATTTCAAAGTCAACGTTTTTTGTTCATTTTATGAATGACTTCTTCCACACAGAAAGTTTGAAGGAAATCTGTTATCTTAAGAAATTCGAGTGGTCGGTTTTTACATGGACTGCCTCTTAATACTTGTAATATACATGGGAAAATAAAATTAAAAAATAAATAAATAAATAAAAGACATCGATGTTGAACCTGATGAAATCATGATATCCTTCGATGTAGTCTATGGTGGCCTATGAGTGCCATCAAGCATTTCTTACAAATATAATTATTTATTGATAAATTATTTTATTTTTTATTAATTATATTTTATTTAATTATTTTATTTTATTTTGTACCTAACTATAAAATGAATGTCATTAGATTTTTTTCTTTGTATTATCCTTTTTTATTTTAAATTTTAAACTAAAACAAAAGTAAATTAAAATGAAATGGAATCGAGACAAAATGTAAAGTATTTGTAAAATATTGCAACAAAGGCGAGTTAGATATGGGATCGGCAAACAGACTCGAAGTCCCAACAAGGCAAACCCCGCACATAAATTATAACTAGAAATTTAC